TCCTTGCCAAGAAGACACAACCGTTTGGTGCCCGTCGCTTTGCAGCCATGGGAGCCAACGTTTGCCCGTGCTGGGGCGAGGCAAAGGCTACCAGCAGCACGGCCGGTCTGTGAAGAAACACTAAAGTTAAAGAAATCGCATGGAAGATGCGACGGATGCGACCGGCAATTTTTTTGCCGTTATGATGGCCACGGTGGTACAGAAGCAGTCAGCTTTGTCAAGGAAGAGCTGCCCAAACTCCTAGGCAAAGAGTGGCGCCCTAATGGGCGCGAGAGATTGAAGCAAGCCTGTGACAAGGCCGACCAGGCTTTGCCAGAGCACTTGCAGAAAGGTCAAAAAGAAGGAGAAGCAACAATTTCCAACTCAGAGTATGTCATCGGGCGTTTGCGCCTGTGTTGCTCTTAGGGACGGAGCTCAGCTCGCAGTGGCGAGCCTAGGTGATTGTCGTGCAGTGCTGCCGAGGAGGCGCACTTGAGGTCCTGATAATGCATGGCCACAACCAATAAAAAGATATATGACAGCAAATTTCATGTGAAAAAAGAAAGATTTTAGTAACTTTGCTGTCTTAATAATCATGATGAATGAAATTTAATAGAAATCTTTTATTGTAAATTTCATTCATACTTATAACCCATATCTTCACCAACAGATATAAATGCTTGGAGGTTGTAGCCGCTAGAATCCTTCATTTTCCTTATATATATATATTGGTGAAGACAATCACCACAAACCAGACGAGCCGGGCGAAGCAGCCCGTTTGGCCAAGGAGGGGATACCGACTTCCTCAGATGGGTACCTAGCAGGTGGCCTATCAGTCTCCCGAGTGTTGGGCGACTTCAACCGCGACTGGAACAAGTGTCCTGGGGTGTCCCCTGAGCCCGAAGTGAATTTTTTCCCAAAACCGAGGACACAAAGTTTGTCCTGCTGGTGTCTGATGGCCTCTTCGAGGGGGGCCTCACCAACAAAGAGGCCATTCAGTGCGTAAGGCAACAGCTGCGGCGAAGCCCTTCTTGGTGTAATAATTTTCCGTTTGGCATGTTGCCCGCTCAAAGACTATTATTTGGAACATATTAGAGATTAGTCTTGGGAATTACTACATTTTTGAACAATAGTCTATAATTAGTAGTAATGTTGTTTTGACATGTTTTGAAACACACACACACACATATATATAATAGTAATAATAATCACATGGACATTCATGCGCCAATCATTTTGGTGGTACTTTTGGAATTTCAATCTTTCCCTTTGTGATCGCTCAGGAGCACAGTCGCCGCAAGCTGCTGCCGAAGCGATTGTAACAAGGGCTGTGAAAATGAAGAGCATGGACAACGTTAGTGCCCCGATCTTGTCTTGGGGCAGTTGAGGGTGTATTTTTGCTTTCCCTGTGGGTGAATAAAATTTGTAGCGTTTTAGGGGAGTATCATTTTTTCATGTCAGCTCCTTAAGCAAATCCAAGGTGCGTTGGTCATTTGCTTTAACATGCCACCACCTTTGCTATCTTCCAACTCGGCACTGGGCCGTAAGGTCGCCCTGAAAGGCCTAGACGGATAGGTAGCGATGGGCCACTTGCTGCAGGCCTTGACTCTGAATAGCCTGGCAGCAGGAAGTGCCCGAATTTGTATGAATGGCCCACAGCAATTCGGCCAATTGCGAAATCTGGACGTTTGAAAGGCCACATTGGAAAACAGCGACGTTTGCTTTGCTGCTTGGGTTAGGGTGTTCCCAAACCCAGGGTAGCGAGACCCATCCGCCAGCGTTTTGCCTGGTCGTTTGGAAATGTCCGCCGCTTGTACTTTTGGTATCGTTGAAGGAAGACGTTCAGTTGGAAGGAGGGATATTCCGGAGATCGTTTTGGGGTCGAGGACATCTTCCTTCCACTGTAGAAGCAACTGTGATGTGACTCTCTTAAGTGCGCTCTTGGAAGGCAGCAGGCTGCATTCTGCAGTTTGTTGGCCGGTACGCCTTCATGGCAGGCTCGTTGAAGGACCGGGAATGCAGAGTGCTGCCAGTTCCTGATACCGCCAATGGCATTTCGATTTGAGGTGATTGACAGGCGACTCTTTTCTGGGCTTTGCGTGTAAATCAGTGAACGGGTGTATATAGTTTATATAATGTGTATATGTGTGTACATATGTAAGATAGACGTTTTTTATGGGTGAGGGTATTTAAAGTCAGCAAACTCTGCGTAGTTGTTACCCGTCTGTGTCCTTGCAAGCACCCGGCCCGTGAGGAACGGCGCCGCTGTAAAGAGTACATCGGCTGGTTATTGCAGCAGCTGAAAGGCGTGCAGATCTGGTTGTGTTATGTTGTGTTTGTTGGTCCAACAATCAGCCTTAGAATCCAACAAGAACCAGGTCACCAATGAGGCAAGCACATTCGTTTTGTGTCCGAACCACTGCCAGGCGCTGTGACGATCCCTGATGTCACCGACAGGGAAGATTGCACAGAGCCTCGTCTTGATCCGAACGGCGCAAAAAGACCCACTGCGCAGAGCAGAGATCGAACATCCAACACGTCAAATCATTCAACAGCAACGTCGCTATTCATGTGGTCGGCATTTGGGCGACATCTATTCATGTTCAACGGCGCTTCAACGGCGCAGCCTTTTCGGGAAGGCTTTCTGTGGTCTCGGATGTGCCTCGTGTTGAGGAGATGCATATTCCTGCCAATTGTGCGGGACCCTGGCTTTGGAGCTGGCTCACTGAGGGTGGGATTCCTCATCCGATCGCGGGGTATACGAGACTCAACCGAGACGGAATGGACTGCGTGGACTGCCAGTGATTTTAAACACAAAGGTTTATATAAAAAGACCACAGTCTGGTGAACAGCTTGGAGTCTTCCGGTTTTTTGGTGTCTTTTGAATGCTTTCACACGATTCGTTTTCCGGCCTTCTTTTTTGGCGCCCAAGGCAAAGGCTGGGTGACGGGGAACCGTGGTAGCGAGCTGCGCCGGATGGAGCATGAGAGCCTCGGAAGTGATGCAGAAGAACATGGTGGGATACAGGATGTTAGGGATGTCGCAGGTTTCACCGAGGAGATGTGATAAGGCCAGACGAAGTCCAGAGGCTCTTTTCCTCCTCCTTGTTTACATGGTCTTGCAGTTATTACTAGCCTAGCATTGATCCTGACTTTCACCCTGTTTCGAAGAAGGCACAGAGTAGTAGGTCTTTGGCAGGATGACACCCAGTCCTGCAGTCCCCAACGCGGTTTCAGGCCCGAGATATGTCAATATGGCTGGAGAATGCCTCAAACAAAAACATATATACAAAAACTACCAGTTTCGAAAGCATTGAATTGGACACCCGGCCAGAGTCCATGAGCAAAACAAAGAGTCCGGTCCTCTCTTGGCCAGGCCAAGAAAACTGCATTATCTTAGATCAGTCCTTTTGGAATCCTTTTGAGCTTCTTCTTCGACCTCTCCCCGGTCTCCCCAGTCTCCAAGGACGTCCACCTACATGTTCATGGCCCTGGATGGCCATGGGGACGAACGTCTCTGCATCTTTAGTCACGAGCAGGGCTCAAAGGTCAGCACCACGGGGCGCATGGCCGCTGGGCCCGGATGAGAGAGCGCACCGCGCGGGGGGGGGGGGCGTCCGCATCAAAGAGAAGAACAAAGGCAGTGGCGAAATGGACGAAGTAGTAGACAACCGTGAAAACCATCCAGGACGCAACTACGGGTCTATACTAACTACCATCCGCACTTCACTCACTTGTAGGTCTGTTTCCCGCAACACGTGCAGCTTGGGTCAGACAGGGCCCTGCATTTCATTCCATTGCTCTATTTCTCTATCCTCTCCAAGGCTGCCGAGCGGTTGGTGAACGAATTGGTGCAGGAGACTTCTGGGTTGTTGGGTCGGAGAAAACGCCAATTCGTCCGGCCAAGACATCTTCTGAGACCCAACCAGGCTGCCAGAGAGAAGCCTGCCCCATGAAAATCCCTACGTCTTTAGACTAGTAGAGCCCGTATGCAGTTACCACAACATTTTCCAAGCAAACCAGTGATTCTCAAGACCAAACATGTAGACTGGAAACCCTTCCTGATACAGTATAATGGTGGCAACTTATGATAAGGAATTTGAACAGATGGGAGCCGTCCTAAAACCCACGAATTTGGTAGCCGGATGTCCTTTAATAGCAGGCAATCCAAGACCTGGATTGCGCAAGGCCGGAGCCAGGTTTTGCGCAAAGGTTCTTTGCACCAAACATCACGAACAGAGTTCAAGCACGTTCAAACAAACCAACAAGAGTTCTTTGCACCAAGCAAACACGTTCAAAAAGCCAGAGCTCTACTGAGTTCGCCCAAGACCCGAGACCGGTCGCCAAAGGCCGACCCGAGTGGTTGTTCAGTATTTGGAACGATCTTGGATTGAGATAAAGGAACATCGGATCTGGTTTTGGGCCAAACCCAGACCCTCGTGTTCTCTGGTTTCGGAGGCGGGTCTTGTAATCTGACGCGGGCGAAGGGCAGAGAGAGGACCAAACACCTATTTTCTCGCAAAAAGCATCCGTACCAAATCGTACCAAGTCAGATAAGTCACCACCCTACGCATCATCTCATTGCCCAAACAGCTTTAAGCTATGTCCGACGCTGGGTTTATCGCCGATCCCCCCCACCATCTCAAGCCCAACAGGAGAAGCTCCGCGGCGACGACGACCGCCGCAGCGACTCCCGGGGCCGGTCGCCGCCACGGCGTCCGGGAGACCCGGGAGAAGTGACGGATGGACCACGGTGGAGTGACTCACGGCGGATGAGAAGTGACGGGAAGGATGAAGTCCAGTTGGAAGCTCAAATGAGCCTCCATATACAAACACATGTGTCTTTTTCAGTCCTGAGGGTTTCCGTCGTGAGGGATTTGTATCCATTTTCTTGTGAGAACGAAGAAGGTCACTCGAGATGACGTGGATTGAGTCATGTTGGGCACTTGGAAGGCCTCGAGCTGTTTTAGAAGGACCGGGCATTTGGTACTGTCAGCCACAAAGTGGGCTTAGGCAGTGCCAATGAAGCTTTGCTTCCGCACCATGGATGGAGCATTGCTGGATGCTGAATTTGAAGCATCTGACTTTGTGTATGACGTGTCGCAGCAGCTGGCAACGACACACAAAGCGAACCAGCAGGTTTCGGCAAGACTTACCCGTGAGGGCGCCTTGCTGCCTCCTGGATTTCGTCTCTCTGAATGTGCGCTGAAGGAGGATGACTTAATTGACGTGATTTTTGTCGCATGGACACCGCCTCTCGAGCAGAGCCGGCTAGAAGTCCTTCCGCGACGTACCATAGACGCCCTTTGCGTAAATGAAACTCACTTGGATGCCTCAGGTATTTTCACAAGGAGCAGTGAGCGTCACGAGATGGCGGTGCAACTTGCATCCAACATCAGGCCCTCTCTCATTGTCCTGGATATACGGCAGTGTGGATTGAGCACGGAGAGCTTGCTCCAGATCTTTGAGCTTTTGCCCGAGTCATTGCAAGAGCTGTGGGCAGGTCGGAACCACTTTGATGGTCAAGTCCTGGAGTGTTTGCAGCAGAAGTCGCTGAAGCTCCGCGTCTTAGATATCGGCTACAGCAGCTGCGAGAACATGCAGAAACTCCCAGATCTTGTCACGGAGCTCACTGAGCAGTTGATGTTGGGAGATTTGGATGACATGGAAGCCTCAGTCTTCGAGGCAGCCTTAGCGAAGTGTCCTCATTTGAGGCTTTTGGACATTTTCAACAACGATTCTTTGGAGAGAAGCTTTGGTGTCATTGCCCAATGCTCGCAGCTGCGACAGCTCTTGGCTAAGCGCGTGGAGTTCCCGATCGAGGGGCTCAAGCAGATCTTGCACCAGTGCCTTCACCTGGAGCATTTGGTCATCGAGAACGTCCAGGATCTAAGTGTGGTGCGGTCTTTGGCGAAGCTGAATCTGAAAGTCTTGCAGGTTGCAGTAGTCGAGACGGGGCAGATCCTCCCTGCGATTGTGGCACTGAAGGCGGGCACCGCGCGTTCTCTGGGCGTGTGCCATTTAAAAAACAGCCACACTGTGAGTTCCAGACACAAAAAGACCAAAAACCATGGTGAATTTTCACAGGAAGCCTATGGTAGACTAGTCCATGCATTTTGAAGAAGCTCACCGTTTGGATCCAGCCCACTGCAATCCTGAACCAGCGGTCGTAGAGGGGGTTGTTTGAAGAGGTGTTTAAACAGACTTGCTCGCAGCAGCGAATGAGGGGGGATTGGATGGGATTTGCAATCCCTCAAAACCTCTTGGCTTAAACTTCGGTTGTCCACATGGTAGAGAGTCTTTATGGTCTCTTTATAGTCTTTGTAGTGGAAACCTTGTGTTCAAAGGACGTAGCATGGACATCCCATACGTCCCACGACAAATCAGTTCGATATCACTTGTTGTATGAGAACGCCACGCAACCTGTCTCTACCTAGGACCTAGCTTGCTGCATGGGCCGTTTCGAGAACGAAGTTGAAAGAACGTGACTTCCAGCATGTGCAAACCATGATTCATCGGGCTTATGTGATGCGAAGTTGTTCTTTGATCCACCCAAGGGCCCCCGGAAAGTGGTTGATACAAGATCGGTTTATATAATTTCGTCTTGCAAAGAGGCCACGCCTATCCACTGTATCCATCTTGGGATGCATGCTCAACCCAAAGCGGCAGGTGGAGACCTTGATGATTTCGTTGCAGCAGGCTGACGGGGATGCGGATGCCTCTCTGGCTTTCATGGAGGACGTGGGGCCTCTTGTCGAGAGCTTCAAGAGTTCCCCAGCCACATGTCTTGCTTTGGAAGCCGCCGCGGTGGACCTGGAAATTTTAGAAGCAATCGGCACTCGACTGTGTAGCATCGGACAGGGATGGGACAGCGCTTCGAACTCCATCTTGTCGTCCTTGGCCAAGACTCCCCTTTGTTGTGTGAACCTCCTGTCGCTCTCAATCAATTATTTTGAACAGATTGATCCAAAGGAACTTGCCCAAGTCGCAGCTGCTTGTCCCATGTTGCGGGATTTGAGCCTCAATGCTGATGACGATGAGTTTCAAGTGGCTGCAATTGACGAGGGGGTTTTAGCACTGGGCCAGCACTGTCACAAGCTTGAGCACTTGGACATGTATGACCGGATCATGGCGCAGCCAGCACAGACAGTCATGACGGCGTGTGAGGGCTGGCCGTTGTTACGCTACCTATGCATGGCGGGCTGCACGCGTGAAGACTGGGAGACCGTCGAGCAGATCCACGAGCTCCCAGTGGTCTTGGCCACAAAGTGTCCCAAGATTCAAGAAGTGGTCATTTATGATGACGAGATGACCCAGCTCTTTGATGCCGAGCTCGGGAAACGATGTGCGCTGTATGGGCGGGATTTCCTGGACTTCGAGACGGATTCCGAAGACTGTTCGGACGAGGATTAGATAGGATTAGGATGGATTAGGACTCCTGCATCATTTTCACTTCACCTTACCCGCAGGGGTACGGAACCTGAGCCTGCCGAGCAAAAGACTCAAAGAAACCAGCAAATCTTCTGAACCGTTTGTGTTCCAGGGCTGCAGTCCCACGGGGCTTAAGGTTGTAGAAAAGCTATCAAAAGCTCCAATGAATTTTCATGAGTTTTCCTTTTTCACCGAGTCAAAGAAAACATGCAAAACTATCGCCCCTTCAAGATCTTTGAATCTGATGTGCTCCAAAAACGGTGTTGCAGGATGCCTCGCATGCCCTCGAAATCCTTCGAACCCGAGGTTCCGATTCCCGGCGCCGCTCACCGTGGCGGCCTCGGTCGTAGCCACTCTGACGGCTGAGCGGGGACACACACACACCTCGACGAGAATGTCTCGTCTCCATGTCACGGGCACCACCCCGGCGCCGATCTGTCTTACAAGCCATCTACAAACCTTCCTAGAACCATCCTAAAACCACACCCACCATCCCTCCGCGTCTTCACCCGAGCGCTGGACCAGGCCGCGGTCCCCGCCGCGGCGGTCGCCGTCCTACCGGGGCAAGCGCCGTGACTCTCGGGCACGCAATGACTCCCGGCGTCGCTAGGCCCGGATGGGCAGAGGATGGGAGGATGTGAGGATGAGTGACTCTTGATAGGATGAGAGGTATTGGGAGGTGAAAGAGGTTGACATAAAAATAGAATAAAATAGATGGAATTTGTGCAGTTGTCTTTTTCAAACTCCCACGTTTGTGGCTTTACACTCCTTGGAACTATCATGGAAGCCTCAAACAGGTCTTCTTTTTCTACGTCCATGTTGTGCATTTCCAGGTTAAGTTTGCTATCAACTCTCAAACTTCCACGATCATTCCAGAGAGAGAGAGAGAGAGAGTATGATGTTTTATTGCACAATGGCAATGCAGCAAGGAGTAGGACTTGTGGTAATGCTTTCGGTTTGCTGAGTCGGACCAGAGAGAAAACGCCACGCCCGACTTGCGAGCGTGCGAATGGCGGGGTCCGTCTGTGGGCTAGTCCGTGTGGCCGAAGCAGAACAAGAGAACTAAGATGAGGACAAATTCGATTGACATATCAGCGTCCCCTTCTGGGGATCTTCGATTTTTTTAAACAATCCTTAAGTGAATCCAAGTTAACAAGACAAAACACTGACCATCATTGACCTCAGACGCCCAGAAATCTGGAGAGAAGCCATCTGTGCAGGAGGTCTCTTGGGTTAGAAACCTCGTTTGCCTGAAATGTCAACAGGAAAAGAACACTTGTTACTACACTATACTATAGTAGTAATATGTAGTAATGCCCTCCTTACTACGAGCTTCTTGCTACTACATGCTACTACTAGTAATGCCCTTAGCTACTAGTAGCTTCACCATCTCAGTAACTTGATTTCATGAGGGTCGTGAATTCGTGCAAATTTAGATACGATTCCTATCTCAGCATCGGGGGCTGGGCTCATGGGGGTTTTCATCACTCAGAACCACGTGGAGGTGTGCCTCCGGTGTGGACGTTCTCTTTCCGTCCTCTCTGGAAGCTGAACGGTGTCAGGCCCTGGGATTCGTCGTTCCAAAGCTTCAATGCCTTTGGCGTCCCAATCATGTGCTCTTGAAGATTCTTTGGTTTGATCATGTTTGATCAGAAATCTAAGTGAGAGTGAGATCGGATTCTTCCATGTCTAGTCAGTGCAGTTTTGGAGTCTTTGGATGTCAGCCGTTGTTTTCTTCATGTCTGGCCATTTGGAGGTAAACCTACCGCGGGTTGGGGGATTCCCGAAAATCATCTTACACAAAGGCGGCCGTTGGGAGAACAGGGGATTTCACCCAAAAAAGCTTGGGAGCTTTAAGAGACGGCCTGTCTCTACATCCATGGCCTTTCTAATCCAGATTCGATGCCGGATCATGGCGGTCTCCTTGGTCACCGGTGCTGGGTCTCCGGATCAGGACGGTGGCCCTGCACGACCGTCCAGCGTATCACGTGGTGAAAAGCGCGGGCGCGCCGTGCAGGTGGAAGGGGACGATGAAACCAATTTGTATCGCACAGGGGCTATATATACATAGTATAGTAATGTATAGTATAACATATTTATGTATTATACATATTAACACATTCATATATATATATATGAATGTAAATTACATTGTATGATTTAGTGTGATTTAGATGCTGGTAGTGTGAGATAATCATGAATCATGGCTTTAGGTGCTGGATGGCAGGTCGGTCCCAACCAACACCCCCCAAAAAGGTATTGATGGTCTTGAACGATTGGAACTCCATGTGCCATGTGTGAGACCATGAAGTGGGTCAGCCTCGGATACAACCAGTCAAAGCACAACTTGGTTTGGTTTTCCCCGACCGCACTCGGTCAGTCGGTTGCACGGTGCCCCGGCCGAGCCGAGCTCGAGCGGGCGGAGCTCCTCGGCGCGCGTGTCGGCACATTGGAACAACATCAATCCCCATGGAGTTGGCTAGTAGCGTCCTTGTTCCTAGTATAGCAAGAATGCTCCTAGTAGTACGGCCAAGCCCCTAGTAGCTTCTTGTTCCTAGTAGTGATGCCCTTTGCTCCTAGTAGCGAACATTGCTCCGTTCGTAGCGAGGCCAGGAGCCCCGTTCGTCGTCCTTGTTCCTAGCCCCATGGAGTTGGCGAGCATGCCGGTGACGCCCCTGGGGCGAAGGCACCGGGACACCAGCGGCCACGGTCCGAGGTGCTCGTTGAGCTCGTGGTGTCCAACGAGTGGTGTCCAACCTTTGGTTGTCACCTGCATGGTGGGTGGAAGAGTTCCTTCACTCCTACAACACCTGAGATACAGAAGAGTGCCCGAGTGTCCGAATCTGCTGTAGATGCCAATGCGATGAGGTAGAGCATGGATGCTGTCCTTTATCACACGCACTGTCGATGTTCCCGCAGCAAGTGAGGGCAACTCACTAGCGCTCATGCCCCCATCGAAAGGTCGTAGCTAGATCACCCGAAATCTGACTGACGGTGGAGAGAAGGCATTGCAAATAGAGAGCAGAGGAGTCAGGAGTGTTGTCCTTCCAGATAATGGTAGTCATTGGATGGCTGCAGCATGCTGCACCTCAAACTGAACCCCCAACCCTGAGACATTCTTTCTAAACATTTCTAAACAAGAGTAGTTAAATGCCAAAAAAGATCTGCCTGTTTGATCTCTTTGGATCTGGCCTCGCCCAGCTTTGTGGTTGGAACATGACCTGGTAGAACCAGACAGGGACGTTTGACGTTTGCATGGACTAACACATTTGGACATATTTGGACTGTAGATTGGGAAGGGGGGCTGACCATGACCATCCTGAAGAGGTTCCTTTAAAGAGAGAGTTTGTCCATCACTCAGATCAATCCACAATAATCCGTATGTTGAAACACATGATGAAATACATTGAGGTTGTGCTCACACCAATGCTTCTTGCCACCCACACCCTGGGAAAGCGAAGTGCATTGCTGTGCATTGCACAGCACCATCGGGCAACAAGCACGGTCGACGTCCCTCGTCACCCCGAGTCCATAGAGCAAGACAGATCGAGGTCATATTCGGTCGGTCCCTCCATTTTGGGCCAAGAAACTTGATTAAACTTGCAACCCTCTCACAGTTGCCTTGCCTGGAGGATGCAGCACTTTGGTTGGACCGACCTTCCTACGCCGCCTGCTCTGAGAATTGCACCACAGCCCGTGCCAGTAGCGCTGGTAACAGAGCCGCCCACTGTGAGAATAGCGCCGCAGCCCATCCCGGTAGCTCTGGCAGAGGCTCCGGCTGAAAACAGACCAGTGCCCCGGTGATGCTGGCAACTTGTGAGCTGGTTCGAAGGGTCGAATGTCCGGTGTTGTGTTCTATTGGGCTGGTCAACATGGCCTGTTTAGGGCCAACATCGTTGATGTTTAAACTTTGTATATAGATTCAACTGAATGAATGGTCGCAGAGCCATATCTTTGGGCACCGTGTCCCTTGAACACTATTGAAATACGATTCCGGGTCTTAATGCAGCTGGTTCGAGCTTGCAAGCGAGTGATTTGGAGGTGCTGCGTAACAGTAGCCGAGGGCACTGTTATAAAAAACAGCATCAGCATCGTGCTTCCACAAATCAACAATCCCTTTTCAAAGTGGTAGAATCTATTAGAAGTATACATCTATCTGTGGACCGAATGCTAGTCATGTAAATGTATGATTTCGTGATTGTTAGCTTAGCTTTCTACCAAACATTTACATGGCTGTGACTAGAAGCTTCCAACCGATGCTCGTGGTGAGTGATCCCACTGACCCAACAAACGGTACGACGCGAACGGTGAAAGGTGCTACTCCGAAGACCCTGCACCCATGGGAAAGCAAGGAGTTTTTTCTAAAGAACCAGGTCTTAGTCTCAGTGTCTGTTGGTCCCCAATCGAGTTCCACTTCAGCCCAGGTGGCCCACGTGGCCAGCCGCCCGCCTCAGATTGCCACCTATGCGCCCTGGCCTTTTGGGGTGGCAGTTGCACAGGGAAGGCATACCTGACAGGAGGTTGATGGATTGATTTTGATAGACTGCTTCGAGGCTGGCACAAAAAATGAAGGCTGGCAGCGTTGTGATTTTGTCATTACGAGAGGCAAATGAGGCATTAGTGGGCAAACATTATGAACAGACTCTATAAAATTCAGACTATACAGACTTTAGATGACTTGAGTCTTGAGTGAAGATTCAGTTGCGGACTCCACCTGTTTGAGGACCATATCTGAATGACCACATCACTTGTCAAAACCTTTGACAAACAGTGATGAACAGCCGTCCCATTCTGAACAACATAATGATCAATCATTCATGTCAACTCAATCATCCAGCCATGGGCATGATATGGCATGATGATTCCGTTCATAACAAAGGATTGACTGTGCCATCTTGACAGCATGTGTCCAGTTGGCTTCCTTTTGCCTCTTCCAGTGGGCTGTGCTATGCTGTGCTCGTGATACCAATCCAAAGGTGTTGATCCGAGATCTAGATGTTCGAAGCTCCAAAAGGCTGTGCTGTCGCATCGTCTGCAGCCCGTCGTGAGGCATCTCGGGATGCCTCGGGTCGAGTTTGGGGCATGCCCAACGCTGGCGGCCGCGGACAATGCTTGGATTGCCCCCGGAAGGCCCGAGTTCTTCCAGTCGCACTCGGGCCGAGTTCGAAGTCCGCAGGTTGGGGGAGTTGGACGTCGCATGGTGAGAGAAAGGTTCTCTTGGAAACATTGAAGCAAGAGAAGAAAGACCTCTGCAAATACGAGTCGACTCGTCGATTCGTCAACTCCAGGAATCATTTTCTGGGCAGCGCTTTTTTCGGCAAAAAGTCGGTGGATGTTCGGCTCACACTGGAGAGAGACCGGTATAATATGAAGTTCTTAAGAGCACCTGTCATTCCTAAGAACACCTGGAGAGAGACCCCCGGTGCTTTGCACGCACCGTAACGGGATCCTCAGGCCGCACTCCCCAGCACACGGTGCGCGGAATGTCAGCTCCGTGGCTTGGAGTCTGGAACGCAAAGCTGGGTAGAACATGAAGCACGTCCAGAAGGCATAGGCATCCTGAGAAACTTACATGTACTTTTTTGCATAAGTCTCTCACTGAAGCTGATGACATGAAAAAGCGAGAAACTAGCTGCTGAGAAAACCCCAAAATCCAGCTTTAGCAGGGACTGTGGATAGGTTGGTCCTGGTCTCAAAAGTGCGACCTCCACCAAGCTCCCCAAAACCCGATGTCAAAAAGGGAACATCATCGAATCATTCGTTGTAGGTGCCAGCCAGTCCCCATGAGCTGGATGTGCTAATTAAATAGAAACAAGTGCATCGCTACTAGTAGCAAGTGCATCGCTGCTAGCAACAAGAAGCCAGTAGTAGCACCGGATGGGGTTTCACAGACTCTTTTCTATTCGGTTTTATGGTTTGTTTGCTGTTGAGCATAGCCCAACGGGTCTCACCCATCCGCCGAGCATCGAGGTCTCAGCTCTGGTGCTCCCATGAGCGATCTGCCGGAGTTCCGAGCACGTTTGGATCGGGTGGCTGCACAGTGTCCCCACAAGGAGGACCCCATCGCATTACCAGTTTTACACGATTTTTGAATTTTCTTTGTAAGATTGGCCACGTGCGACTCCTTTTGCCCATGGCTGTCTTTCTTTGCCTCTGTGTCTTCGAAGGTGCAGTCGCGCCTGGAGACCCTTTATGAGAAGCTGCAAGCGGGGCAAATCCCGGAAAAGTTGCAGCAGAAGCTGAGCCTTGGGCAGCAACGCTGGTCAGGTGGTTGTGGTCGTTGTGGTCGTGCTTGGATGGTTGGGTTGAACCTCGATGAGCCTGGAAAGAGAGAGAGAGAGAGACTGAACACAACACGCGGGATTTGGTGTTGTGAGGGATATGCCGCCTTGAGTGAGTCGGCCGACCCAGAGGTCAAGATGTATCAGTATCTGTTTGTTTCAAGATTCCCGACAAAAGATACAAAAGCCTTCCCTGGTGTCCCGGGTGTAACAAAGAACCCCCGTGGTACGTCCTCCACTTAGTCACTGATAGCTTCTTGTTACTACCAGTAAGGCACCTGTTACTACTAGCGATGCACTTGTTCCTACTAGCAAAGGAATCTACTTCTTCCCTTTTGGTCTCCGGAGATCGCCTGAGGCGCGACTTCGCGGCCCAGCTCGAGACCAAGGACATTCGCGCCAGCTCGGTGCAGCTGCAGGACGGGCCAAGCCAGCCCAACGACCCCCTGGTGTTTCCGGTGCTTCTCGCGGCTTGGACCAGTGTTCTTCTGAGTTTGAAGTTTGAAAGCATCAGGAGATGCTTCATGGGGGTGGAAAGCCGCCTGAACCCATGGAACTCGGACTAACCTCGGCCGGGGTTGAAGGATTGGAGTACCTACTTATATAGGTGCACCGTTGCAGCCAAAAGATTGTTCATAGGGCCTAGGGATGATCAGAGACACTTTCCAGGAGATGATCACGGAATACTGGCAACAACACAAACTCTGGCTGACCGGACTCAAGTGGCTTCTACGCGCTTGAGGCAGGGGTGTCAGTGGGCTGGTGGGAGGTTTCGGAAGGTTTTGTCAGATCGGTTGATGAATGGATCTGCAAAAAAGGCATCCTGCGAGGTCTTGAGGTCTTGGAAGAGCAGGTCTACCCAGACTCAAACCAGCAACAACGGGTGAGGGGTAGGTTCGAGTAGTTTTTATGTTGTGTTTTTGTTTTGATTGTTCCATGCCTTTTTGGGTAAAGCTTGTCGGGATTGACCAATAGTTTAGGGGGGTTGGCTGGCGAACCAGACGAGCAGACGAGAACCAGACGAGTCCAGTCAGACGTGTCTTCTCAGGTGTGGACTCCTGGGCCTGAATCCGCCTCCTCCGATTCACATGGCAAGACTCTCCTCCAGGGCACTTTGCCTTTGTACAGTGAGGATCTTTTCTTGCCATCACACTGAAATGCGGTGTGCCTGAGAGAACGTTGTTCCCCTTCTATACAGTAGGCAACGTTACAGCCACCTGAAACCTCAAACATCTGCAAGAGCGCTGGTGGATTGTATGGCCACATCAATGCATGGCCTCATCAGCAGAGTCCAGCTGACCCAATCACGAAGCGATCTCGATCGCATGGAAGTTCAGCTCGCATGAAGCCCATGCTGAAGCATTGTACTTGCAGATGTTTGCAGCCCGTAGGTGGCTTACCTTGACCGTTCAGGGTCAAAAGAGTGGAGAGGTTGGCTCAGACAAGGCTGTGGGGACGTGGCTGTGGGTCAAGAGCCAAGTGCCCCGAGATCATGATTTGGGACTGGCTGCTCTCCTTGAGTTTTCTTGATTCTTTTTTGGTCTCGTCTCATACACTCTCATACAAATCCTTTCGTGACTCAGGTGTCATTTCTTTCTCAACAACAAAGCTCTTCACAGACCGCCCGGACCAAAAAAGAGGGACACTGCTGTAGGTGATTGTAGGTGTTTGTTTTCTTTAGATAATTTGCTTCTCCTGATTGAGGGTGATTTTTCCAATTCGACAGATGCTAAACAAGGATTGAACCAGATATTCGTCCACCCTGGAGACCGGTTCCACGCGCGATGTCCATGACCAAGGGAGACCCGACTCTCGGACCCAACAGGGATATCTAAAGGGACCCGTTTCCCGCGGGCCGCGCGCCGGGGGATGGGGCCGTGGGCCCGAAATGAATCTGAGGTGCTGCGTGCGAAGCGCTGCCAGGGCTGTCTTCTCTTGGAGGGAAAAAGAGTGCGACAATGGCCAAGACCTAAAATGGACCGCCACAGTCACTAAGGAGACATTACTCTCACACATTTCCCCAAGCCACACCATCGGCAGGACTACTTGGTGGAAAACCAGGACAGAGATGCTTATGATGGGTATGAGCCTAGATTTGGTGTTTAGACTCTGTCGTTTCATTGATAGCTCCTCAGTCAGTCTCACTTGTTTGATTCGCAACATGTTGTTGTTTTTTCAAGGTTTATTAGCCACCGGTACGTAGGGACTGAAGGGCCACAGGCTCAAAAGGTTTATCAGGACTCATTAGGACAATCAATGTTCTTGGGCGGCTCTGACTAGCAGGACTTGATCATACCTCCCAAGAAGAAGAAAAAGAAAAAGCGGGATGAGGAGCAGGAGCAGGAGCTTCGTGACGTCAGTCTCGAAGAGTTGTTGCTGTGTTGGTTGGTTGCTTGATTGGCTGGTTGGCTGGTTGGTTAGTTGGTTGGTTCAACTTTTGGTTCTGCTCCTGCTGCCATACGCCCTGCTGTTGGGTGACACCGCGACACACCACACCAGTTTGTGCGTCAAATTGTTGTGCTTGATGAGTTGGTTGTGTTGCTAGATGTTGCTAGAGTTTTTGTCCAAGGGAGTGCAAGCAAGAAACAGGCAAACACTACTAATTGCGGAACAACTGCAAGGTCTCTTGACATCAAATTAACGTTTAAAGCAATTCTTTGCCAATATTGATTGGGATTTGTTGGTTGTGCCTTTGCTTTAGGGCACTTGTATCGAACTATTGCTTGATTGAGCAAGACGGTGTTCAATTTGCAGCACGTACATGATTCATGATCTCCGAACTTTGTCGCAGTCAACACCCACAGATGGACTTCATTCACAGATTGTCTCTTTGCGTAGGACTTCGTATGATGCCTGCCACTAGCCGCACTAGCATCTGTGTGATGCGCCACTAGCTGCACCACTTCCGCTCAAATCTGGTTTAGTCGAGTATGTACCAGTCACATTGAAGGAAGCAGTGAAGCTGATGTTAATGTGCTGGTTCTACTTAGAGCATCATGAAAAATGATGCTCTTCAGCCAGTTTAGCGCAAAGCGCCCCACGTTGCTCGTTCAAAAAGTTGGATGATTTGAATGTGGATGATCGATCCCTCGCCAGAGGCCATAAGGAAGCTATTATTTTCAGAAGGACTCCCATAGCACAACTGCCTTGGCACAAGATCAAGTGATGTTAAAAAAAAAACACCCGACCAAGGAAACATGTAATGAGTGGTCCCGTTTTAGCAAACCATGGCTGATTCATTGTAAAACGATAAAGAGTTAAAAAAGAACGATAACAAAAATATAATACATGCAATACAGTACATGAGAATAGAAGCATTGGAAATTCAAATGCCTTTAGTGTTTCATGTCAAGGTTTCCGTGTAATACAAGCATTCAGGAGTAGAGCTGGGCATAGTTTTAAAAGGAGCATGTCGAGGCAAGTTCAATTTAGTTGTGATTCAGGTGTCCTTTAGGCCACCAAAATGGGTGAATACTTGGGGTTCCAAACAATAGCAAACCGATAACAGAAACGATAAGACAAATACACGAAAACGTCCTCAGGAAGACCATGTCCCACATGTACGCGCCATCTGCTCACATACTGTTCACATAATAGTGCACGCACACATATACACACAACAGAGACCGACTTGCTTGCAGTTGAGGCAGGGACATGTCTGTCGGGTTGGCTGGGAAACAATAAAAGACTGTATAAAGATTCCAAACATTGTCAATTGTAAAGCGATAAAGAGTCAAAAAAAATACGATAAGGCTATAAGTCGTTATACAAAGTGTATAAGTTATTGTTATATATTTTTTTAAAATCCATATATCATTTATCAAGTGCTTGAATGCTAACGCTCGTTTCGGGATGCGAAGCTGGAGGAAGTCCAGGGAACCCATGGAAAGCCAATCAATCCCTATTCCATGTGGGGCCAAACGCCCGACTTCAGCTTTGGCCGCAGCAGCAGTGTATCCGGCTAGACATCCATGAGATGGACTAGGATTCCATCAAGACTCCATCGTGTGGGGATTCAGCACTACTGGTGATTCAGCACGCGTCTTCCTTCAGAACATCTATATATGACATCAGGCCCTTTTTATGCCCGTTTTAGGCCAGAACAACGACTCAGGGTCGGACTCACCGTAGATTGCGGAAGCTTTATCGAAGAACTCCATTGTGCATTGAGCTGATGGCAGCGCCGTTGCGGCGTTCCAGGCCAATTGATCTACAGATCCCATGCCCCAGAAACATCTGCGGCCACCACCTGCAATGTGCATGAAGTGACCAAGCAAGATTCTGTCTCTCCGGAAACCCGTGGGGAAATAACCAACAGATTAGTTTCCCGAGCCGCTGATTTGTTTACTTCTGTGGACTCGAGTTCGCATGGCTGGCAGTGGGCGATTGGGATCATTGGTGATCATCATTTTGAGGATTATACTCTCATCATAGTCCATTTGGTAAGAGATCCCCAGCCTTAGCCATCATGGATGATGCATGCTGTGGAGAAAAAAGAACATCACATTCTTTCATGGGCATACTGTCGTGTTGATCATGATAAGACCAAAGAGCATGTTGATCACACCTTGGTGCGCTCGTCGGACTGCTCGTCGCGCAGGCCGGTGAGCCGACTGCTAAGCTTGCTCATCTCAGGCGAGGCGAGGAAGATGCGAGCCACTGAGCCACTCCATCAATGAGTAGATGGGTGCATTTATAAACGAGAAGCTACTGTTACTAGAAACAAGTGCATCGCTTCTAGTAACAAGTGCCTTACTACTAGTAACAAGAAGCTACTAGTAACATTTAATCTTGTTTTACGTGTTTTTTAGAGCCGTTAATTGTGGTTTCAGAGGTTCCATGGCACAGACCCCATGATGTCCTGAAAAGGATGGGGGTCCATTTTTGAACCAGCTCTTGGGGTTTGTGCTATCTACTAATGTCGCATGATAAACAACTCTAGAATTGATGGATTACTGTGCAGCATTTGTGTACCAGTGTACCATGTATGAACTTCTACTGACGTTATGAGATCAGGGAACATGCGGCATCATGCGGCCATTTGCAGCCGATTTTGTGACAAGGCTTCTTTGTGACATTGCATCCGACCTTCACAGGCGCATAGGACTGGAGTGGAAGGAGATTGTTGCTGGATTGATGATGCAGAATGAGTTTAAGTTGTCCAGCCCGAGCCCAGCATTGTGGCACAATGAGTTGACAGCTCACTGTTGGGATCATGTTATGTGTTTGTTTGTAACGACAGTTTTTTTCCCAGAGGCAGGACCAGTCGCCTAATGGGTAAGGCGTTGCGATTCTGCGACCCAAGCAGATATCAGTATCTTGATGGAGGTTCAAGTCCTCCCTGGTCCGTTTTCTCTTGCCTTGTTGCCTTGTGAGCGGAGCTCCTTACGAGCCGGAAAAGACATAACAATTCACAGGATGCTACTTGACCCAAACTTTCGTTTGCAATGTGTGAGCAGGTCTTCGCGCAAACCGCCAAGAAGGCGCAAGCTTCTTGGGGGCAGCGCAATCTCAAACCGGAGGGGTGTTCTAAATGCCCTCCAACTTGGTGAAAACCAATGGATTTCAAGTGTGTGATGGTCAAAAAGCACACAATAGGAGGATGGCCACCCTCCTTCACAGGGGTTGTGAAAAGACCTCCATCATCTCTAGTGAGAGCTGGATGACCATTTGCAG